CAACTGTGCTCTTTGCCCATAACCCAGGCACGTGCCCCGGCCGGGGATCCACCAGCGACCTTTCGGTTTGCTGGCCAGTGCTCAGTGCACTGAGCCCCACCAGCCAGGGTGTTATCCTTTCAAACAGAAGTTTCAGCAGATGCTTCATAGTTGTGAGAGCAGGTTAGGGGTAGAAGCGTGACTGTGGGCCATTCTCTTGATCTGATTTTAAATCATATGCAGTACTTATAATTTAATTTCATTAAAAAGATATCTAATTTTTTCAAAATTCAAATCAAGATCTCATGACAGACTCAATCCTGGAAAGATCATTTTGTGTTATTACTATGAATGAGTAACTTCATGCCAGTTTTAAAATGGGAGTGATGCCCTAATGGCAGAAATCTTTCCTATGCTCTAAATACTACTGTAAGAATTTTAGAGAAATGACCAACAGATTAGTGTGGCAGGGCTGTGTTTATTTTAAGGCAAGAAAATCCCAAATGAAGAGAAGACACCTTGGCCCTAGCTGGCGTGGCTCAGTTGGTTGGAGCATCGTCCCGTAGACCTAATAAGGGTCAGAGGTTCAATTCCCGATCAGGATGCATATCCAGGTTGTGCGTTCAATTCTCCACTAGGACATGTATGAGAAGGCAACCAATCAATGACACTCTCACTCTCTCTCTCTCTCTCTCTCTCTCTCTCTCTCTCTCTCTCTCCCCCTCTCCCCCTCCTTCTCTCTTTCTAAAAAAAAAGCAATAAAAATGTGTCCTCCAGTGAGGATTAAAAAAGAAGACAGCTTGGGAAGCACTCATCATCAATCAAGAAATCACAGCAATAATGCTTAAGTTAACATTTTATTCAATTTTAATCATACTGAAAACTTTATGGGGAAAAATTTCCAAAATCTTTGGTTTACTCATGTCTCTGATATAGTCTATTCTAAAATTATTCTCTATTAGCAATATGGGAAATTTGTGTTATACGATAAATACAAGAATTTGAAGGCCATATGGCCACACTACCTCTTCCGTTCCTCTTTCTCTCTGTGCCGATCCATCTTGGCATGAAGCCCAGGTAATTTCCAGAATTTGGCAGTGCCCTGGCAAGTGCGCAGCTGCTGCTGTCTCCAACTCTTGCCTACTAATTTTGCACACACCACTTCCTCCTCTTGGTGCTGAGAAAGTCACGGGCGGGGGGGTGGGGGGGATGTCCCTAGAGGGCAGAAGTCCCATGCTCTGGGCAGGTTCGGAGCCCCTTGAGGGGGAGTGCAGCAGCATCACCTCACCTGCAGCCTTGCCCACCTTGCCACTTTACCCCTCTGCTTTTCCTCATCTTTTTCCATTTGACTCTCAGCATTTAAAAAGCTTGCCTCGTTTCCTTTTTGTCCCCTCCTAATAAATACTAGCTTTGACTCCTCATGAATTAAAAGACCCAGTCAACCCCCCTGAGGGTACCTGAGCCAAATGCGGGTGGGGAGAGAGGACCTGTGAGGGCAGAGACAGAGGCAGCGGTGGTGGGGCTGCTTGCCTTCCCTCGGCTTCCACCTGCCAGCTCCTTCACCGTGCAGTGGCAGAGTGGGTGTGCGCCCAACACAGGTAAAATCGAGATATTTTTATCCTCCCACACTCTTCTTAAATGTGGCATCAGCTTTGATCATATTTGAATACAATCATGGCGATGATTTCTTTCCTTTTGTTCTTATGTCTCTCCATTTCCCTGCCTTTGTTGGTCGAGAGTGACTTGGTGCTCCTGGTGAGCAGAGGCAAGCCTCTGTATACACACCATGAGGGGTCCCTGCCTCTGCCCACTTCCAGAGGAGGGCTCAGTCACCAGTGGCTGTGTGGCCTTCCACTGCTCTGTTGACAAGGGCAGGGTCACCGCCCTGGGGAGGTGAGTGCTTCTGCTTCCTCGGGAAGAGCTTTAGTTCTGGAATAACACTGTGAATTATTATTGCTTTTGTCGTCAGTGGTCAGGATATCATGGCTGTTTGTTTCTCTTGTCTGAGTAAATGATCAGACTAGGGCAAGGACCTAGGATGAGGAAGAAAACTCATCCCAGGCCTGCCACTAATTAGTTGTTGTATTGAGCAAGTCTGTACTGCCCCTGAGATTTGCTTCTTATGTGTGAAACAAGTAGGTTGGGTTGTAGTCCTTGAAGGCCCTGTTATTCCTTGATCTCTTCAATGTCAAACTGAATGTGATGACCATGCTGAAGCTCTCTTCTTCGGACTCATTCCCAGGCCCGGTGGGAACAGGTCCACTTCATGGGCACCTCTTAGAAATGGGAAGAGATCACAAAACAAACACATATTTTTCTAGCTTTTTGTGTATGAGCTCATTCCAATATGATGTCGTCAGGGAGAACGTCAGCATAAAAATGGACAGAACGGAAATTTACCAAGAATTCATATAAAGTCCTGCAGTTTGATTCAAAGAAACAAATTGCACAAATAGGTGTTTGGCTGAAATTCACATATACATCTGGGTATTTGCATTATCCTCGGGTCTAACGTGAGCCAAGAGCATAATGGATGCCCTGTGCTGTATAGGGTAACCACGAGTCCCCACGGCCAAGGCAGACTGGAAGGAACTGCTGAGGCAGTGGCCAGGCCAGACAGTCTGATGTCAGCAGTCTTCAAAGAGATCAAAGGCAGAGCAAGGTTGGAGAGGCCAAAGGCAAGACACAGCTCAAGGTTGTGGCAGGAGATCAGCAAGAAAGCAAAATGAGGGAGTCAGTAACGTCAAAGCTTGGAGATAAGCAGAAATGATGGGAGCGGGGAGGGTGGGGCCAGGGGAATGGGGGCCCATTCAGCAAACAGGTATTGCTGTACCAGATGAATCCAGTTTTTCTTGTTCTTTCTTTCCCTTTTTTACCAACCTGATATTCCCAGACAGCTGCGCCGTCCCTAAATTTCTCCTTGATGCAGAATTTAAGTTACTGACCCCTTACGTGCCCTGGTTGTTTCTGCCTTTCTGCTTCTCTGCCTCTGCTAAGGAATGCTCTTATTCCTCCCTGACTTCCTTCTTCTGTCCGTCTGAAACATACCTTTCTTTCAAAGGTTCATCTCTAGTCCTGCCTCTTTCCTTCAGCACAAGTTGACTACTCCCACCTCCATCATTGATTCTCTTCTCATGGCTCTATGTAACAGAACACGGCACATTTCTCATGGCAGGGGGTGGGGGGCGGCGGCGGCAGTCAGGAGGTGATGCCCCAGATGTAATTCTTAACTCCTTCACTAGTTTGGAAGCACTGAGAGGAACAAGCTGTGTCTTACACACTCTGTGTGGTACAGGAGAGAATTTGGGAATAAGCAAAAATAGCCTGGCATTCAACCCTGGCTGGGTGGTGTTCAGCAGGTACCTGTCTGTAGGCCTTAGAGTCCTCTGAAAAACGGATAATGGTTCCATGCTCCGGCTTCCACACACAGGGGAGCAAACATCTAGATCAAGATCAGAGGCAACAGTCCTTTCAACCTGTGAAGCACTCTAGGAAAGGAACAGGTTATCATGTTATAAGAGGCGCCATCGTGTTATAAAAAAGGCAATGGAATTTATGAATCTGAATTTTGAGTTAGATTTTAATTCTTGCTCTACTGCTTACTCCATATCTGATCTTAGAAAATTTTCTTACTGCCCTGTAAAATGACAAGACACTCTTACAAGGATTATTAGTGCTAGAGCTGGCTTATACACCAATGTATAAGAGCATGTTGTCAAATATTAGCCACTTTGCAAGCTGGTTGTTAAACTGTTATTAGCTAGGAATCTGCCATGGTGCGAGTACTTATCCCAGGGAAATCACAAACACCACAAAGTGGACAGTCAGGGTTTTTCTCTGGGGAGCTGGCTGATCAGCATGTCACTGAATTGGGCAGATAGGGCTCTATAACCTGTGCAGCTCCTGGTCTTCATTATCATAAAAGTAGTAATGGCGACAAGCAATGTTCTGTGTCCGCAGAACCCAGCCTATTGTGGGGCACAGCTCTTAGCACCTATTGAATAAATACACCTTTAATTTAACTTGTGTTCATCCTTGTATCACTTTGATACTTCTTCCCCAGAGCTAAAGGAATACCATCTTTACTTCTCTTCAAACCCCTTTCTACAAAGTGTCTTTTTTAAGTCAGATAAAAACAAAAGCCTGGTTGAGTGCACAGCGCACACAGTGGGCCTTAAAACCTCTGTGTCTGTAACTGAGCTCATGACCTCTTTCCAAATCTGCTTTTCTTCTGATATTTCATATCTCAGTTAATGCCATTGGCCCCCTATCCATTACCCCAAGTAGGTTATCTGAAGGGTATTCCTCCCCTTTTCCTTCCCCTTCCCCACTCTGAGTCCAATCAGTCACTAGATCTTACCAATTCTGCCTCTCACCTCGCTCCCCTCATCTTCACTGCCTGCTTCCTGGCTCGTGGACAGCCGCCTTCCCAGAGCAGAAAAGGCAAGGGAGCTCTCCCGGGTCTCTTCTAGTAAGGGCACTAATCCCATTCATGAGGACTTCATCCTTATGACCTAACCACCTACCAAAGGCCCCACCACCAATATCAGCAGCACACTGGGGACTGGGTTTCAACATATGAATTCATGGAGACATAAACATTCAATTTAGAGCAACATATTAATGCAGAATGCCAGGAGTATCTTGAAAAATATGATGATATAATGCCCCACCCAACCAAACCACCTAGAATTAACTATTAATTCTTGAGATGGATCCTTCCAGTCTTTTTTCTTATATATGTGTCTGTGTATCCTTTCTAAACAAATTTAAAAACAGTTTATATTGTATATGTTTTTCTAACCTGTTTTTATACTCATATGTCACGGACATTTTCTCCTGGGAGTAGACACACTCTCCTACAGCCTGACTTGTCATTGCTGCACAGCAGCACGCCACGTGCATGCACACCACTGTTTAATTAATGCCATTGCTGCAATGCTTTCATTATTACAAACAGGAGTACACTAGTGCGATGACTAAGGAAAGGATGATCTCACGGCCTCCTCCTGTTTCCCCAGGTTTCGGAGCCCTCTCTCACAGCAGACCTCCATTCGAATAGTGCTCTGAGTGCTGTCTCAGGACCTCGGGCACACTCATGGCACGATGGCCGGCCCTCAGGAGCACCTGAGCTGCTCCTCCTCCCCGCGCGGACCCGTGAGTGAAAGCAAAACCTTCAGTGGACTACGAGATGAGCTGGCCCCAGTGGGGAGCCACCCGTCACCCAAGCTCCCTAAGGACCAGCTGGAGAAGGGGGCGGTGCAAACGGAGCTAACCGAGGGTGTGCACAGCCCCGCGGCCACAACAGTGTTGACGAGTGTAAGCGAGGACTCCAGGGACCAGTTTGAGAACAGCGTCCTTCAGCTGAGGGAACAAGATGAGTCAGACGTGGCCGTGTCGCAGGGGAACAGCAACACTGCAGACGGAGAGAGCGTGAGCGGAACTGATGATGTCAAGATTCAGTTCAGCAGCTCAGGCAGCAGCGGTGGTGGGTTTCTGGAAGGACTGTTTGGATGCTTAAAGCCTGTGTGGAATATCATTGGGAAGGCGTATTCCACTGATTACAAATTACAGCAGCAAGGTAAGCAATAGCATGAACCCGAAGATACTTCTTGGGTAAGCACACTGGCGTCATTAACTGGATGACCTTTGACCCCTGGGGAAATTAAATGAATGCCTGTATCCATTTCCCATAGACCTTCTGAGTGGAACAGATTCACATTCTGTTGGGGTTTTTTTTGGGGGGGGGGGGGGTGGGGTCAAAGCCCATGTTTTAAAGTTGTCAGTCCAGTGGTGTCCGAAGTAGAATACAGATAGGACAATCCATGGTGTTATAAGGAAGAAAATGTTAGAGCTTCTGTTTCTTTTATACCATCATTTTAAATTTCTATTTTCATGCATATTTTATATATAACTGATATTTTAATAAAGTTGTGTACATATTATCTAATTTATAAATAAATCATATAATATTTGCAAACTTAAATTTTTCTAAGTGAATGTTTATATAATCAAAACCCCTGATGGCTGCCAGGCTAACCCACAACAGGACAGAAGCCACATGGTACTGCCTGAGACTGCAGGCCGGCCTCGGGGTGCAGGAAGAGGAGTTTTTTCTTGCAGTCAAGGCACAGAAAGCTCACGTCTTGAGGAAAGACAAAGTATCTAACCATTCTTGAGGAGCATCATTATTTTTAGGCCCCACTGCTTTTTAAAAAGTAAATCTTTAACTCCCATCATTGTGTAACTGTGTGTTTCTGTATTCCAATTCAAGCACTGTGATTTTGAAGTAACAAAAACATCACAGGCCCTGGTGTTCTTTCTGACTTCATTTATATTCTTTAAAAGAACTTTTATTCTGAAAACAAAAGTAATATATGTAGAAAATTTGGGACATACAAGTAAGTCCCTCCGAAGAAAGTTAAAATAATCTGTGACCCCCAGTGTCCTGAGAAAACCACCATTCGTGTTTTTGGTATAGATCACATTAGTCTCTTTGTATGTGCATGTGTGCCCTTAAAAAAGTCACACTGTTTCTCACTTCATAATGTGAATAGTTCCCATATCCTCAAATATACTTCATCAGCATCCTTTGTAATGGCTGCACAATATTAAATTCTGTGAACAGGCCAATATCTATTTAAGGAATCTTCTGTTGCTCGACAATTTGTGGGCCATGTTTAGTGATTATAAGCTTCACTTCAGCAAACACCTGTCTGTTATTTAATTTCTGCTCCAATCTTTGCTTTTCCCTTCTAATAAATTCCTAGGAGAGGGACACTTGGGTTCAAAGGGTTTCTTGCCTTTAAGGCCTTTGGTACACATCTTTGTAGCCTTGTGTAAGTGACTCAGTTGTTATGAGATCTCTCACTTTAAAATTTTGGAAAGGAAAAATATGGGCCAGAAGTAAGATTCTGTTTTATTTATTTTATAACTGAACATTGGACTCTGTGGCCTTCCCTTAAAAATATATTCATCTGTTTTCATCAGGACTGTTCACGCTTTTCCACCACAGCCAGTCGACACTGGTTACCATTAACCACTTTCTCATACATTCTGTTTTTCCGTTTGTGAAATACTTACCCCAAACCAATACCGCCCCCTCCTTGTATACCCCTTCTCCAAAGGCGCGTTGGGACTTACTGGTCCATCTGCCAGTTCCAGGTGTAGTTTTCAGGATTTGTCAGCCACAGTCTCCGTTCCAGCTCCATGCACAAGTTCTTTGTCGGTGCCTGGACTTTGCCTGTCCGCCTCTCTGTCTGGGTCTCTCTTTTTCATACACATCCTTCCATACTCTGCACATCCCACCTTTTCCCCGCCTCCATGATTTTAAGGCTTCAACAAAATTAAAAATTATTCCATGTCACACAAAGATTGGAGACTCCTATGTGAAGCAGTCTTATTATTTTTTGAGTTGGGGATAAAGATAAGCATAAAGAGGAAAATAAAAATGACTTGTCGTCCCACAATCTAGAGATAACCACCCTTCATTTATTATTTTTTTAAAGTTTCCTCTTCTTTGCTTAGACACAAAACCTACAAATATCTGCTTATGTGATAAACTGCATTTGGTTTTTAGGATCTTAACTTGTCCAGCCTGTCAATTATTTTGGTGGTAATTCGAAGGTCTCAGGATCCAAACACAGTATTGAGGTCCAGATGCATAAAAGGAATAAAAGACATGTTCTGTGTTTGTGAAGAGGAGCCTTGAAATTTTTATATTGTTCTGTAAACTTCTATTTAATTTGTCTTGCATTGGATTATGTGACTTGCAGAAAGGCTTATTGCAAGAATAAAAAAGCAACAGGCCTGGTCAGTGTAAGCTTACAAGGACACAGCAGCTGCCTAATTCTTCAGCAGGCGACAAGACATCCTATTGTGGGCTGGTGCTGTGTGGGCCGTAAAGGAGATTTGCTAGCAGCCAGAAACTAGGTGTAGATTTTTCCTTGTCAGCTCTGGGATCAGGGAGATAATCTTTAATCCTGGATTACAGTCAACCAAAGGATAGCACATGTAACAGATGTGCCCCTGCATTTGGTACTTATGAAGAAATTTCACTAGATTTTTAAAAGTTTTAAGGTCTTCATCTCCCATTTAGTTTGTTGGTAATGAAGTCCAAGTAAGGTAGTACTATGTGTAATTGGAATCTTTTCTCTCCAAATAGTTCCCAGTCTCAAAGCAAGCGTTGTCATTGGCATGTTTGAATAAACAAAGGAGAACTTACGCATTACAGCGGGTGGGCATGTGGCTCTTTCACCATCTTAAGAATCCTGGTGGATATTGGAATTAAGATAGTAGTCATAGTGATGAATCAGAGAGAAGATAAAAGCTGGGGAAGAGTACCAATGGGACAGGTGTAAGAGCAGCAGAAAGTCTGGGACTAACCCTGGAGGGAGCACAGCCAGTTGTCACTATTATGAGGTTAATGATCTCATTCATCAATTTCTCCTAATTCTTTGGTTCTCAAGCCGGCGGCGCTCAACCTACTGAGCCACACCAGCCAGGGCTCTCATAACATCTTACTGCTGTTTATTTGCCGTCATTTTTCTGATCCTTGCCTCCTTACTACATATTGACAGGGACATTGGGACAGGATGAGAAACCTAAATCACATCCGTCAGCTTTACTTCTGGTAATCAGTTCCACAGGTGGTGGAAGTATTCCTTTATTTTATCCTCTGTGTTTTTGTGTTACTAGTGCTATCCCCTTTGTTTTTTCATAGATCATTACTACTTGGTCGAATCACACAGGCAGGAACTGCTGTTGGCAGAGGACCTCTTCATTCCTTATATCCTCAGCCTTTGGTATTCAAGGGCCAAATTTGTGTTTTAATAATTCATTTACTTCTCATTTTATAAAAATACTTAATAAATGGCATTGTTTATTTAAAATATGGTAAACTGCAATGTAAGCATTATAAAATGACAGGAAAAGAAAGGGTTATTTAACAAATGGTTTTGTAGTCACTAAATAACAATATGGAAAAAAATTAATTTAAATCAGTCCTCACACCATACACCAAAATAAACTCAAGATGGTTGTAAAGGTTAAACTTTTTAAAAAATCAACTATAGATCAACTCTTAGAAGACAGAGTAGCCACTAGAAGAAATTATAAAGGAAATTTCAGGCAACCACAAAAATATTTTTTCAAAAATAATAACATTAAAAGAAAAAATATTTTAAAAAAGAAATTCTCTTCATATTTTGAAATAGAAAGGAATGTCCTTCAAATTTATGAGAACTACAAGACTCTACTGGGTAAGTGCACAAAGGATAAATTTGACAATTCATACAAAGCAGATGTGAGCATTAAACAAATGTAAAGAAAACATTCTTCATCACTGGCAATTAAAGTAGTACAAACTTATAAAACATTATTTTCTACCTGGATAAATTAGCCCCAAAAAATAATTGGCAATATTCATGGCTGGTAAAGTTGCTGTAAAAGACACACACACACACACACACACACACACACTGCTGCTGTCAGCAAAAACTAGAGGAAACATTTTGGAGAGTGATGCGGCGTGTGTACCGAGGGCCAGGAAGCTGTACTATTAAACCTAAGGATTGAGTTTGAGAAAATAATATAAAGAAAGAAAAAGTATTTAAATTTCGAATTTAAATTACCAAACAAAAAGATAGAAACACATAAGTACCAAAAAATGATACAGTAAACAATTAGTAAAGCTTATAACAAAAACTATATAAATACAAGGGGAATACATAATATATGAAAAAAATTATACATCACATACAAATTTTACATAACTGTAGACATATGAACAAAGACTAAAAGAGAAGATAAAACTGAGTTTGGGATGGGATATCAGATAAAAATGAGTGTTTTTCTGATATTTTCTAATGTTTCTAGTATTTAATAGTAAGTAAAGATTGACTAGATAGGGAAAAAAGACACCCAAAGATTGTGTAATTTTAATAGTTATTATAATAAAAATTGGGGTAACTTGGACTTCCATGAAGTTATTCAGAGAAATATTACCCACTTATGTTCTTAAATTTTTATTTTGTTTTAGAGGGGGAAGGGAGGAAAAAAGAGAGGGAGAGAAACATTGATTGGTTGCCTTCTGCCTTCCCCAGTTGGGGCGCCCCAGGCACGTACCCTGACCAGGAATCAACCTGCGACTTCTTGGTTTGTGGGACACCATCCAACCAACTGAGCTGTGCCAACCAGGGCTACGCAGTTATGTTCTTGCCCCATATCTTGTAATAGCACCTTATTTCACCCTCGGAATGGGCAAAATGACACTGTGTTGAGTTCTTCACTGGACCCCTAATAGTGAACTCTCTTGGTGCATGCCGCCACTGTCTGCGCTCTGTGTGTGCGGCACGGATAAGCCCAGGGGGATGAAAGTGAGGCTGCCTGAGACACTTAATGCTTGTCGCCATTAGAAGCCATAAAGAGACTGAAAACAGTCAAGTCTACAACATACTGCTTCGTCCCAAATCTCACTGGATAGTGTTTGTTCCTCTGGTGATTTCTTTTTCATGAGTTACTCATATTTTAGAAAGATTTTCTTTGATAGAGCATATAATCCCTTTCGGTAGAGCAGAAACCTTTAATACTGCTGAATGGGATGAATGTCCATGATATAAATGACCCTCACTATCATTTCTTTCTGCTCTACATGGTTATATTTTGAAGGTCATGTTTTAACCATTGTGATGAGAAGCCACATTTTATTAAGAGTCTACAGAATTTCTTTTAAACTAGAGAAAATTAGAGAAGAGGGAAATATCGTTCCCTTCTAAATACTGGTGAACTCTTTCTGCCCTAACTTCATGTGGTAAATGGTGAGTTGATTTGCTTTCAAGACCAGAATATCTTCAAAGCTACCTCAACGCTACCTTGTGCAGTGTTCTGCAAATAGCAGCCTTTTAGTGATCAGCTTCAGCAAGAATTTCTCATAACCTTTAACATTGTTATCCTCTGCTCCTCATTCCACAGGCTCCCAGCTCTTTGATGCTCATTTCTTACCAGTGCAGTGATAATGCACTGGTGGAAAGGGGGACAAGGAAAAGGATCAATGGATTATATTCTTCTTTTTAAGTTTCACAAGATCAAAGCACATATCAACTGAATTTTTGAGTGTTTTCTTTTAAATAGCATGTAATTCATGAGAAAAGTAATATATACTTATAGTTAAAATTTTAAAAAACAGAAAAGGATAAAGAGCAATATGAATCACTAATAACACCACCACTTAGAAATAACCCATTACATTTTTGGTGCAAAAAAAAAAATCAAACTCTAAGAAAAAGAGAAACTGGAAAATATTGGATCTGGATAAGTAAATTATCATGACTAATAACACTGTCCATTAATCAGGAGAGGCACTGTGGTATAGTGGAGAAAGCGCTGTCCCTGGAATCAGCCAGTTCCAGAGTTCTGCCATTTACCATCTGTATGAACTTACTTACCACCCTGCGTCTTAGTTTTCTCATCGTTAAATAAGCAGAGTAAGGCTGAACTTGTAGGGTCGTTGTAAGGATTAAGCACATGAGACATGTGAAGCACTATGCTAGTGTCTGGCAGGTAATAACTACTAAATAAAAAGTAAATACTGATACAGGTATTATGCATAATTAGGTCTTTAGGAGAGTATCATTGCACATTCATTCGGCAATAATTAACTGACCATCTGATGACAAATTCAAAGAAAAATGAAACAACGCTCACCACCGGTGACGGGGTAGGGATGGCAGTGTAGAGACAAATGGGGAGTAGACTGGACGTGCAAGCTTGAAGGGAGGAGGTGGGCGTATCAGTGTATGTTTTGTTTGGAGGAGAGTATACTGGAGATCTCTCATCTGCTTGATTTCACTGGCTAAAGATTGATACAAACAAATACATGGGGATATCCAATCTATAGTGCCAAGGCCCATAGAAAGGGTCTTGGGTGAGTTACAGTGGGAAAACAAAGGGTAGAGGTCATTTTGGGTGATATAAAGTTGGTACCTTCAGAGTGGCCTTGTAGAATGATCCCTAAGCAAATTCTGAGACCCCTTTAAGCTTGTTTCTCACTTGTGTGCCTAGATACTTGGGAAGTGCCATTTGAGGAGATCTCAGAGCTGCAGTGGCTGGGTAGTGGAGCCCAAGGAGCTGTCTTCCTGGGCAAGTTCCGAGCGGAGGAGGTGGCCATCAAGAAAGTGAGAGAGCAGAATGAGACGGATATCAAGCATTTGAGGAAGCTGAAGCACCCTAACATCATCGCTTTCAAGTAGGTCAAGGCTTTTTTTTCTTTCAAGAAACAGATTTTCTTTCCCTTAATAGATACAGATAAATTCCTGCTTTGAAAGACATGTTAAGAACATACTATACACTAAGCACTGTGCTAGGTGCTTTGGTAGGATACCAAAGAACTATTAAATTAGAATCATGTCTTAAGAATTTATAATCTAGAAGTTCTTCTTAACCAGGGGATGCCCTGCTTGGAAGGGATGCAGATGGGACAGAGATGGGGAAGTGGATTCCTGCCAAGCAGTCAGATCTGCTGCATCAACCTTATTTACCAGTAAGATGACAAAGGTCACCTCCAGGTGACCTGAACATCCTAAAATTCAGTTAACAAAGCTAACATCTAAGTGATCAGAGAACAATTAGTCCCTGTGTCATAGACATGCTTTGTATTAGTTCTGTTAGCGCCCCTTCTTAAATACAAGCTTGAATAACAGGTACCTTCAGAGTAGTTCTCCCTGCGTCATTGTTTGCCAAGTCACCTTTCAAGTGATTGCAAACACTCAGCTTTCTCAATGTAATGGTACAGAGTTATTGATGATAGTAAGTTGTGTGGTATTTTTATTTCACGAAGTAGTCCTTTTCAAGATCTTTATAGTTCATAGTATTATTTTCACAATATTGGTGGGGATCCCTAGCAAAAGGGGGAAAGCTCAAAGGTAAATTTTGGAATCACCAAGTTTGGCAGTGCTGAGCTCTAAATATGTACAATATTTTCTGTTGTGAGTTCCCTCTCTTACCAGCCTTCACATTTGCCCTGGGCTTGAACAAATGAATGGGGAGTGGTGTTAGAGAAAGGAAGAACAGGGAAAATAGTCTTTAGGTGGGATGAGAGTGTAGAAACATATATATATATAGCATGACCCATAAGGCTACAGTTAGAAGTGGAATAACTTACAAATCTACCTTCTCTAAATGGGAAGGAATTTCTCCCAGCCCCCAAGAGAGGATCCTTTCATAATACAATTCTCATTATAAAGCTAAACAGGCAACGTGATAATTTTTTATTGGAACCACATCCCCAAAGTAAGGAATAGAAATCTTAGGTACAGGTTTTATAGAGTGAGTTTAAATGAGTATTAAGGCCGGGTTTTGATTCCTAAACAAGGCCCCTGATGGAAAGAGGAAGAAGAGAAGCATTTAACTGGGAGGCTAAGCAAAGTGCTTGGATTTATTTCCTTGTGGGAGGAACATCCTTGCAGAGTGCGTGGGATGGAGCTTCAGCTGCTGGAGGGATTCTGTCACTGGTTGCCCTAGTTGGGCCAAGAGGATGTGAGACTAAAACAAAATGCTCTAGAGACCAATTCTGATCTTTCCAAAGATGATAATTCCAGAAGACAATAGGAGGATTATTTTTAAGCAGACTGCCAGAAACTCACTGCTTTCTTTCATTCTACCTCACTGAGAGGATCTTCACTCCCTGTATGCCACACTGTCCTAAATGGAAGGAAGGGCCTTCCATTTGACTTCCATTTAATTACCACTTCCATTTTGAAGCCTCAGCCACTAGGCTGCGGGGTTGGAGACACAGAACATTCCATAGATTAGCATGGCCTTTTGGCCTCCTGAAATGAAACAGGCTGTCTCTCAGGTCAGAGGGCTTCCCAGGTAGAATTGTGTCCTCAGAGGATGGGTATGAGATGCTTTATTTTTTTCCTTCCTTTCTTTTGTTTCTTCCTTCTTCTCCACAGTCCTTTCCCCCACCTCACCCTCTGACCCGCCTGCCTGCATATGTACTTTTCAGCATATTGGACAAACATTGCCATGTTGGTGCCCAACTCTTAGGCTGAAGATGCTTGAATAGTCTTTACCTCTACATGGAAAACAATAGTGAGACTGTGTCCCTGGCCCATCACACCACACTCTTGGGCATTGTGCAGTGTTATGTTTGCAGCCATCTGTGCCATGTGTTGCTTGGCCAATGAATCATTCAGGACCGTCTGGAAGACATAAAGGCAAGATTAGATTATAGTACATCTCTCTGGATACTGCTTTTTCATGCTTACAGCTCCTTTTGAAGTAAGAACCATCTACAAAGGGAAAGAGCAAGGAAAGAATACTATATTCTTTTTTCTTCCAATTTTTTAAGCAATCTTTTAAGAAAACTCAGCCTGACTCTTCCTAATGGAATTGAGTGCCAAGGGGAAGAAAAGGTAGCAATTAGAAGTGATTATGGAGCTGTTATTTATAGCTGGTAAGAAGCCTTGTCATAGTACAGGGCTGACGGAATGATTGTTCCTCGTTCGTCAGTCAGGGAAGATGAAAAGTGCCTAACATGTCACTGCCAGACCCTTTCTGCCCATATTCATGTGACAAGTTAAGACATACCAGAACAGGATACTGAATAGCTTCAAACAAATATTTATTTTGATATTCTTAAGCATATTACATTATTCCTGCCTTACTCACTGTTTCTCTGTAATGAAAATTAACTTGTCTCCGCTGTTGCCATACACTCCTGCTCCACTGAGGTTTCCTAAAAGTCAAGTAACAGAAAACCTGAAAAAAGGTTTTCAGTAAAAACCAAGATGAGGATTCTGGGTAGCTTAGAAAATGATGGAGAGTAATAGAAAGAGCTTCATGGCATTTGACAGGCACATCAAAGCAGGAAAAATGAAGACTAATGATTTGATTTCTGTATAACCTGCTAGTGTTATAAGACTTGCACAGGATCACAAGCCATCGTGGCCTCTAAAGTGCTCCTCACTTACAGCAGCCCAAGAGATGAAGGACGGGCAGTGAGGGCTGGCTGAGGACTTTAGCTGGGCGTCTTGTAGATAGACAACTCTAGATAGTTTTATAGGAAGGCATATATGCCATTGAGGATGGGACACAGAGAATTGCACATGGCCATTTTTCTTCTCTTTTCTCATCCTCAGAAACAAACTACGAATTAGAGTTAATATGATTATTCCCACTTTATAAGGTGACAATATGAATGTAGGAATTCCCAACATGCTTGTCGATACTGATGTTAAAGAGCTGAAAGAGAGGTGGTGTGGTGTACGGAGTAGAAGAGTGTGGCTTTGAAGTTAAACATACTGGGTTTGAATACCAGCTCTGTCGCTTATGAGTGGTCTGAACCAGAACAAGTCACTGCCCCTCTCTGAACACTACCTGTGAAAATGAAAAAGGCAATATCTATCTTAGAGCAGACTAAATAAAACAAATAAACATGTCAATATTCCTGACAAATAGAAGATGTTCTTTCACGTTACTGCCCCTCCGACCCCTGGCTTCTGCACATGTTCGTGGGAAGGCTTTATCAGCAAAAGAAAGTTAAGATGAAGTTAAGAACCATTTGTCACCATTTGGACTTGCTGGGCACATCCAGGCCTTGTGGTAGACAGAAAAGAACGTAAAGACCTCTCCCTTCAAGGAGCCTGTAATCTGTATCAAGAGAGAAAAATCACATATAAAAAACTGATGGCTGCTATGTAGCACTGACATTTAGAGAAGAGAGAGACATTTTTGGCCTGGAATGATCAGGAAGGGCTTCGTGCAAGATGTAGGAACCGATGGAAACACAGGCTGCATGGGTATAGAACACATTGTGTCGTGTTATTTTTATTCTGAACAGAAGTGTTTTTTAAAGACTATCTAATATAGAAATTTCTTTCTTTGATCCTCAGTCTAGTTAGTTGTCTTAAATTTGAGCAGTTTAAAAGTTAACAAATAAAGAGTAATAAATAAAGAGTAACAAAAAAGAGTAAGAGTTTATTTAAATTCTCTCTTTCGGCACACTGTGTTAAAACCCTCTATTTAATTCTCAAAGGAAGATATTTATATCACTCTTAACAATCTAAAACCACATAATGTGCAGCCCATACAAAGCCCCGTGAAAGGGCGCGCTCTCTGTCCCAGGATGGAATGGCCCACAGAAAAAGCACCAGGTACAGCACAGGATATAGATACCTAAAGTGAGCAAAACAAACCAAAGTTGTCTATATGTATAATAGAAAAACCTGTAGACTAGAGGGTTTTTAAATGCTAATTTAAGAATCAGAAGTGAACACACAGTACAATATACAGATGATGTGCCATAGAATTAAACACCTTAAATTTATGTAATTTTATTAACCAATGCCATCCCAATAAATTCAATTTAAAAAATTATGTCATCAAAAAGAATCAGGAAAGATTATCTATATATATTTTTAAATAATTTCAATAGAGAATTGGTCCTGATTAAATTTATGAAATACTCCTAAAATATGAATACACGTATGTTTGTTTCTATGTGTGTACTGTATTTACAAACACGTTTGTGTTTCCCTGGCAGGGGTGTGTGTACTCAGGCCCCGTGCTATTGCATCATCATGGAATACTGCGCCCACGGGCAGCTCTATGAGGTGTTACGGGCTGGCAGGAAGATCACACCTCGATTGCTAGTAGACTGGTCCACGGGAATTGCAAGTGGAATGAATTATTTGCACCTTCACAAAATTATTCATCGTGATCTCAAGTCACCCAAGTGAGTAATGGAGTTAATTTTTCAGCCACTTTGTTTTATTGCTTTGAGATGAGGAATTCCACCAGCCACAGCTGAGGTTTTCAGACATTGTACTTTTGGTTCAGTTTAAATCAGCACACTGGGTGGTGCAATTCACATACCTTTTGGATTATTGTGACCTACTTACTTATCTGTATGGCAGATATGTTCAGGCACCTGACACTAGTTTTCCCATTTTGTTGCTTTTTAATTGTGCAATTATGAAATAATTCATTATCTGGAGTGCTTGCCTTCTATCATTTTGAATGATTAATGCCAAACTTCCTCACTTCAAGGCTTGATTTGTTGTTTTCCTACGTGTTTCCCAAAAAAGCCATTTTTTAAAAATTGAATTTCAGAAATGTATTTAATACAATCAGATAACAGTGAATGAATAAGAAACAAAAGCAAAGAGAAAATAAAAACATTAGAACTAAAACTTGTTCACAAAATGTATAAGGTTCTGTGGAGTTGTTAGAGGTAGACTATATAGTTGGCTTCAGATTTTTTAGAGTCTAAGCAAAGAGGGGGGAAGGAAGGAAGGAAGGAAGGAAGGAAGGAAGGAAGGAAGGAAGGAAGGAAGGAAGGAAGGAAGGAAGGAAAAGAAAGACAAGGCTCATAAGGTTCATAGTGTTCATAAGAAAAATACAAACTGATTATTTAAGAGAAGCAAGCTGTTTCTAGTAATCTCTGTTATCAAAATGATTACTTGGCTACTAATAACCACTTAAGAGGAGTGTTTATTCAGGTCTTCAAATTGCATAAAGGAAAGAAAGGAGTTGATAAAATGGTATATTTCATCCCTGACTGGTGTGGCTCAGTGGACTGAGTACTAGCCTATGAACTCAAAGGTCACCAGTTCGATTCCCAGTCAGGGCACATGCCTGGGTTACAGGCTGGGTTCCTGGTTGGGAGTGTTTCTCTCTCCTTCTCCCTCCCTTACCCTTTAAAAATAAGTAAATAAACTCTTTTTAAAAATTGTTTATTTCACTGTAGCTCCTATTTTTAAACATTATTTTTATTCTTTCTCATCACATTTGGTTTGGAGAACCAGAAAAAGATTAATCTTTTCTCAAAAACATATTTACATGTGCTTTTATGATTTACAGCATATTTTTATATCCATTATCACACCTGCTTTGATCTTGGTGAAAACTGTATGGAATAGATATAGCAAGCATTATTATTCATATTTTATATAAGAGAAACTAGGACTCAGAGCCCAAAGTCATGGAGCTAGGACCTGAACTCAGAACTTTTGGACTAAAGACCACTGCTTCCTACATCATCGTGTGAAGGTGAGGGATTCACAAGGAGTCCTGCCTCTTCTCCATGAAAGACACAAATCAGTTTTTGATTATGAACTTCAGTGAGTTCTTATTTATCACCATAGATCTCAACAATGTTTATTATAATCAACAGCTCACCGAACAGCCTCCCTCTTGCTTTACTTGCAAATAATCTTATTATATAGTGTTCATTCCTTCTTTCTACGGTGTTAACCGAACCTGTTGCTTTTATCATCCACCACGTACACATAAAATTCTTGCCAGAGTCCTCTTTGAATGGTTTTCTTTTGAATCATCTTATTCTCCTTGAGAACTAATTTTAGAGGAAGACATCGGGAGGTTTCAGAATATGTAGAAGCCACGTGCTTCTCTCTTTAACTCCTGTCATGGAGAGAATAGAAGAAGTTGGTTACCCAGTAAGCTTCTCCCTCTGTTATCAGTACCCGCCTGAACCCCAGGCAGGTCGGCTCTCCTTGGGTTCCCAGCTAACTTTGAAAAAACAAAGATCAGTCTGGCTTGCTGTGAAGAGAGATTTTGTTACCTACGTGAAATATTTAAGCCATGTGATCTTTGTCTCAGAGAAGATTTCAGAAAAGTTCTGACATCGTATCTCCTCTAGTCTGCTCCCACATTCGTTCCCGCGTGTCACGCCCATGGGTCCCACGGTGAGCAGCACGGGGGACACAGGAGGGGAGGTTCCACTGTTTGTTTGTTTGTTTTTCTGGTGGCTAATCACCTTCTCTGAATGGTTTATGATACCATCAGTTCTCCAATTATCTCAAACTGCTCGTAGTATTTTAATCCTCATGCATTTTCACCAAGACTAACACCATTAAATCAAAATTGTGTGAATTTTAATAACAGGTGCAAAACCAGGACTTGGATGTGGGTGAAAGTGTTCTAACACAATTGTAAACACTGAGCTGTTTGGTAAACAGAGAACTACTTGACATTGACAGGGAGGGAAGTCCCTGGTTCAAACGAGAAGGGAGGAGACAGACTGAGAAGTTTCCTATTTTCTCACTGCCTTGATTCTGATACTATTGGAATATTAAGCTTTCTTATTGTTAAAAGTAGGTCCCTAGATCATTAAGCCTCTGAACCCCTAACTCACTGACATTCTGAAGTTCTAAATAGCCTGTTTCAAGCGAAGTCGGTCTAGTGTGGGAGGATGTTAATTTGTGGGATTTGACTGGTTCCAGGGTATGTTCGTCTTTGAAGCTAGCAAAAGCAGCTTGCTCCAGGTCACATTTCAGATAACTTCCATGAAAATTAACACATGAGTTTTGTGGAATCTACTTAAGGTTAAATTTATTCCTGCTTGTCCTCATCAACATTAGTGGAATCCCAGGATACTTATCAGCCTTTTAATGGAACGACTCTCAAGTATCATGACCCCATGCATGATTTTGGCTGGCTGTCATTTAAACAGTGTTTTTATTCTTTTTTTAAGATTTTATTTATTTACTTTTAGAAAGAAGGGAAGTGAGGGAGAAAGAGAGGGAGAGAAACATTGGCCCTCAACCCAGGCATGTGCCCTGACTGGGAACTGAACCCACGACCCTTCGGTTTGCAGGCCAGTGCTCAATCCACTGAGCTGTACCAGCCAGGGCTAAACAGTGTTTTTAAAAAAGTGTTTTCCTAGTGGGTTGTCTGAGGCTGGCAGGGTAGAAACCAATATTTATTGAGCATGGGCGTTTTACTTATCTCATTTAATTCAAACAAAAATTCTATGAGGCCATTATTACAGGTCCATATTCCTTATCCAAAACTCTTGGAATCAGGTGATTTCAAGAAGGTAACAGTGTATTACCTTACCCGCGCCCAGCAAAGACTGGGGCACACCCTATAATCAGCTGCATTCATGTCTGTAGCAAAAATTATATGCACTGTTTTCAGAGCATTTTGCATTTTTGAATTGTGGATAAGATAGTATGAACTGAATTGTCTCCATCTTATAGATGAGAATAGTAGCTTAGAAGAATTAAGTTGGCAAAGCTCACGCAGTGGTGGAGGCAGGATAAAACCAGGTGTAAAAGCCCGCTATTCTGTGCTACCTCATGAGTATGGATGGTGGTGTTTCTAGTGTACTGCTAATGTCCTAGTAATATTGGAACTGATAAGCTGAATTCTACAAGGTAGGAGGCAGCAAAGTCTTTGGTTGCCAGTTTGAGTCATGTGTTTTCATTAATACTAATGATCTGGATATTCTCTTATTTCTTTTTAAAGTGTTTTAGTGACTCACACAGATGCAGTAAAAATTTCAGATTTTGGTACCTCAAAGGAACTCAGCGATAAAAGTACCAAGATGTCCTTCGCTGGCACAGTCGCATGGATGGCACCAGAGGTGATACGAAATGAACCCGTCTCTGAGAAAGTCGATATATGGTGAGTGGCACCGTCTATGCGAAGTAGAAAGTCTTTTCCCATTTTCACCCTGTCAGCATTTTCCTCCATCAACACTTCTACTGCCCCAAGTATTCTTTTGTGTTACTCGCTTCCCGTTGATTGCAGTCTCACGTTAGCTGAGGTGCTACCCAGTACAACAATGACCTGGTGAAAAGGGTTGAGGTAGGAATTAGAGTGACTATCCATTCAGCAAGTCATCAGTTTTGGGGACCCTCAGAGACCATGTTGAACTTTCTGGAAAATAGAAAGGTTACTTTAAGTAACCATTTAGTGTAAAAGTCTTCCTGAAATACATTACATAATTCTCGCCTCCTTAAATAAAATACTTCAAAGTTCACCCGTTCTTGGTGACTCAGACCATCGCTGGTACATCAGTGACCCGCTGATGTGATGCAGTCATGCGCTTCAGGCCTGCTCGAGTCGTGCAGTGCGGTTTGCCCTTCCATTACACAGCCCCTGTGGGCTATGTTTTGTTGTTGTTGTCACTGTTGTTATTGGCCTTTTGTAATCTGTATCTATTTTTCCTCCAAATATTTGCTATGAACAGTGTATTTCCCTGTAGCTTGCTTTTCTTACCTTCTTAAAATTGACTACCAATAACTTTAAGCTTAAAATCAAAATAATAGCATATATTAAAATTTCACGTGACACCAAAATAAATAAGATAAAGAAGAAATGTGGGATCACTTGTAATTTGGGTAATTATTACAAATGTGCCCTCTTTAGGGATTATGCCAATTTATGTTCCCAACAGAAATATATAAGAGTGTTTTCTCAGTTTCACCAACCAAGTTAAACTTTTAGATTTTTGCCAACCATGTAGGTAAAAAAAGGTATCTTTGGTGAAATTTAATTTTCGTTCCTTTTCTTATAAGTAAGGTCGTATATTTTTCATGTTTACAAACCATCTGTAATTTCTTATTTGTGAACTGTTCTTATTCTTTGTTAAGCTTCCTGATTTCTACTCTTATCCATTATAAAAGTATATTATATATGAGAAGATTAGCCTTTTGTGTATTTGAATTACAGATACCTTTTACATTTTGTTATTTTGCTTATGGTGGAGATTTTTTCCATGCCAGATTTTTTTTTAATGCAGTTTAGCTTATCATTTTCATCTTTAAAGCCTTCTGGACTTCATAATTAGAAAAGCCTTCAACACTCTAAGGGTTTTTTTTAATTTCCCATGTATTTTTCCAGGATTTGTATGGTTTCATTTTTTATATCTAAATCTTTGATTCATTAGGAATTCATCTTTATGTAAGATGGCATATACATTTAATTTTCTCCTCAGTTGTCCCAACAACATTAATTGAATAATCAATTTTTCCCCACTGGTTTGGGATGTCAGTTTTATCAATACACAATTCCTATGTGTATTCGGTCTATTCCTGGATTTCTGTTCCATTCCATTAGTCTGGCTGTCTCTCCATGCACCAGCGTTAACTACGGAAGCCTTATAACATAACATGTCTTAATGTCTGGTAGGTGATGTTGGTTACCCCTCATTGACTTTCTTTTTTAGAGTTTTCCTGGCTGTTTCATTTTTCTTGTAGCAGCATTAGAATTTTAAAACTGGGTACATTTGATTAAAAATTAATAAAGAACTAAAATACAAATCAGTCTTTCTGAAATGTCTTCTGTGCATGTTCCTGGCACCACTGCAGGTCTTTCGGCGTGGTGCTGTGGGAGCTGCTGACAGGGGAGATCCCGTACAAAGACGTAGACTCTTCCGCCATTATTTGGGGTGTTGGAAGCAATAGTCTACACCTTCCAGTTCCTTCCACTTGCCCTGATGGGTTCAAAATCCTTATGAAACAGACATGGTAAGAAATATATTTCTCCCTATAATCTCTTTTACTTTCTTCCTCAAAACTGTATTTGAAACTTCTCTAAAACTGCAGAGAAGTCTCTAATGTGTATTGGGAGTGAATCACCTGGTAGCATAACACAAGGAGCCTTGGCATTATTTATAAATAAAGAATTTAGTATGCTTTGAAATAGTAGACCTTAGTAAATGATAGCTATTATTATTTTACCAGTCTTAAGGGATCATTATCAAACAGGCCACTGGTCCTAAGATTTTCATTTCATCAACACTGCCTGAGATATAGCCACACGTGGAGTCAAAAATGTTTTTCATAAAGTAGAATAAAACCTTGGCTGGGTAGCTCAGTTGGTCAGAGCATCATTCCTATATACCAAGGTTGCAGGTTTAATCCCAGGTCAGGGCACGTACAAGAAAGCAATGAATGCATAAATAAGCAGAACAACAAAGTAATGTTTCTTTCTTTAAAATCAGTAAAAAATAAATAAAGTAGAATAAGGTCTTTATCCTCCTGGATATAACTTCTGAAATTCACAAGCTGCCTGCTTTTACTTTTAGGCAAAGTAAACCTCGCAACCGACCTTCCTTTCGGCAGACGCTCATGCATTTAGACATCGCGTCTCATGGATGTTCTTGCCACGCCGCAAGAAACTTACTTCAAGTCTCAGGTGAGTCTGGAAACCTCTACCAGGTGCTACTGAACAGACAGACAGGGAACTCTCATTGAGAAAAAGTCATTCTTAGAAGACGGCTATTCTGATTCTGATAATAATTATACAACTCCATTCATTGTGAAACTGTGATACCTCATACAGATGACATTTTGGAGTTTTTAAGCACATACACTATTATCTCATTTGAAAAAGACGTGTATCAGAACTGATCTTTATGTGGGTTCTGGTGAAACTGTCAAAGAGAAGAAGAAGATATGAAAAAACTGTAATGTACACACATTCGAATTAGAATTATTATTGAACTTCATGAAAGTATTACTGTCTTTGAAGTAGAAAAACTAAAGTACAGAGTAGGGAAGTTAAATACCAGAAGGAGCCCATGATGGAATTAGGTCTAGAGAGAACTTTTCTCTAATTTTATATGTCATTTAGTAGTATTAATTAAAATGTTATTTAATGTATCTGTTAGCTTTTACTGCATTACAAACCAATCTAAAACTTATGGCTTAAAGCAATAAGCTTTTGTTGAGCTCACCGTTTAGTGGGTTGGGAATTCAGGTGAAGTGGTTCTTTCTGCTGGCTCTGGGCTCACTCACATGTTTGCAGTCAGTCGCCAGGTCATCTGGGGGGCTGTCAGGTTCCAGATGGCCTCATTCACAAGTCTGGCTGGCTGGTAGCTAGAGCACCTCAGTCCTGCCCCACGTGGCCCGGCCAACCCAAATGGAGAAACGGACATCACCTCTTGATGAGAGAATCTACCATAGCAGATTGTAAGTTTGGGTGCAGAGAAGGAAAGAAGAGGTGACTATTAAATTAAAATACTATGAATTGTCATAAGGATTGGTGGTCCAGCCCTGGCTGGTGTGGCTCAGTTGGTTGGAATGTCATTCTGTAAACTGGAAGGGTGCCGATTCGATTCCAGGTCAGGGTGCATGCCTAGGTTGAGGGTTTGATCCCCAGTTAGGGTGTGTGTGGGGAGGCATCCAATCAATGTTTCTCTCACACATCCATCACTGATATTTCTCTCTCTCTATCTCTCTGTTCCTTCCCCTCTTCTCCAAATGAGAATAAAATAAAAAACCTTTTTCAATATTATTTGTAAAAGATTGGTGGTCCAACCAACATCAATGTGGACAGGGAGTTATGGGAGGTAGGTGTCCATGAGGCCCTTGTCCCTGCCAGACCCAGGCAACAGCAAAAGGAAGTAAATAGGATGAAACTATGGCTTTTGAAGCAAATGTGATGATCCTAAATTATAGCTTTATGCCTGCAGGATTTCACAACAGTATTACGTAACTGCTCATCACATAGCTTTGTCTCACTCATGTCACTGTGCTTCTAAATGAATTTTTATAAGATGAATTCCATCTCCCTATTATTTTCCCACATCACTTTAAAGATTAATCCTCAGAGAAGACATTTTATTACCAATTGGTGTTTCAGTCTGCCCCCACAGCCCCCCATCTGCAGTGGGTGATGAGTTTACCTACTGGGAAAGTCTGTGTTGGGAAGACTTTCCTGGGAAGGGGATTGTCCTGGGAGTTAAACAAGTCCTCCAATATGCTTCAGTGCCTGTCTCAACCCAAGGCTCAGAGTACGGGCTTCACAGGTATCTGATAAACATTGAGACGCTCTGCCCGACAGACATTGGGAATATCTGAATAAAGCCCCACGGGTTCTGGCAGTGTCTGGAGAGTGAGGTGTCAGAGACTGTTGCCCTGCCGCCCACAGTTGAATCATGCTTTCTGTGAGCCACAGCCTTACCTCTCCCCGCAGCTGTGTCTTTAAATATGCCGTCAGACTTGCCCCTACAGTTTTTTAGTGTTTCTGAGGAATTACTGTGTAAGTAAAGTGTTTGATCTAAGAGGAAATAAGAAGATGTAGAGGACTAACTTCATGCCATTTCCTATGTTCTTTGATATGCATTCAGATAAACTCCCTTTGAACTATTAAAACTATTGCCTATCTATTCAAATACATGTAGGTGTGGTACGGGAGAAGAAACCTCAAATAACTTCTGTTAGTATTCAGAAAAAACCTAGGTTCTTTTGTGAAATGAGAGAGAATAACAGTGAGTACTCTCTAGGAAATCTCTCAAACTGTAGGATATGGCTACAATAACAGCTTTGTTTCCTTTACAATAAAATATACGTATCACAATTTTGAAGAGCAGTTTTTGTGAGCATGCTAAGTCACAGCTATTGAGATAGTATAACTATATATACTTAGAAAACTGAAGTTCTAAGTAGATTTTACTTGAGTGCTCCCAGAATACCACTTCTTAGCCGGTCCAACATGCCCTGAGCCCCCACCACACTCAAAGCACTGTACAAAGCACTGTATAGTACAACTAAGCACACAGTCAGTATCCTCCCTTGTACACACTCACTTTTTTAAAAATATTTTATTTATTTATTTTTAGAGAGAGGGGAAGGGAAGGAGAAAGAGAGGGAGAGAAACATCAGTGTGTGGTTGCATCTCACGTGGCCCCCACTGGGGACCTGGCCCACATCCCAGGCATGTGCCCTGACTGGGAATCAAACCAGTGACCCTTTGGTTCACAGCCCACGCTCAGTCCACTGAGCTACACCAGCCAGGGCTACACACTCACTTTTATCAACACATGCAGTGCTGAAATTGAACTCAGAAAAGGTTCTTTCAGAGGAAGAATATGAAAGGGAGAGGAAAGGGAAGGGAAGAGCAGGAAGAGGGATGAAACACTTAGTACACTGGACATCTTTTAATAATCATTAAGTTTTCCACATTTTTCTTCCAACATAAAATTTTACCCCTCCTTGAGTAGCCCCAAATCTGTTGTCCTTGATAGTTCCTAGAATTAGACCTTGAGTGGAAACCCCTGTCCTGTGATCTTGGGTAACACAAAATTCTCTAAACCTCAGCTTACTCATCTAAACAATGAAGATAATCATATCTTTCCTTCCTTGTGGATCAAGTAAGACAATAAAAATTCAAGTGTGAATGCAACTTCCAGTCAAGATGAAGGTAAATGCAACTGCCTCCTTGCACAACCAAAGCTAAATTACAGAGTAAATATCACTCAGAACTCTAAGAAAATCAAGATGTATGGAAGCCCGACAACAAAGGAATTAAAGAAACCACCTCCATCCAGACAGGTAGTAGGGACAAAGGGACAGAGAGGGTGGAGAGGCGGAGATGTGGAACCAGCTGATCCCAAACCCTCCCGTGGCAGATACAAAACAGAAGGATATCTTAGGAGCAAGAGACCCCAGCCCCACACGAGACCAACCAGCCCAGGGTTTCAGTGCCAGGAAGATAAGTCCCCAAAACTTCTGGCTATAAAAACCAGTAGGGGTTGAGTCGGCGGAATAAACTGCGGGATTGCCAGGCCTCCCCTCTTAAAGAGCCTTTCACTGCACAGACATACTCAGACTCACTCCCTCTGGGCTCCAGCACCAGGGCAGCACCTTGAAGGACACTAGTGGCATACAGGGATGAACTAAAGTGTCTGGCATTGGGGCAAGGGCTGGGGGACAGCTTCCTCCCAGACAGAACTGCAGACAGTAGCCATTGTTCCTTTTCTGAGTCCTCCCCCACATAGAGCCACAGTATTTACAGCACCATATCTGAATCTCCATCAGCCTGGCTCCCATGATAAGCCCCACCCTATTACCTAAGGGTCCACCCCATCCAACTCATGGGCCTACCCAAGCTGGTAACAGTCCTTTTCCATATGAAGGGCTGAGGTAGAAATAGGCTTCAGACATTCCTAAATCCAGTCAAACAAGCAATTGCAGAGCCAAGCCCCCATACCTCTTGTTGAGTAGCCCCAGCCCCAGGACTAGAAGCTCTCTGCAGATCGCTTTATAACTTATGTCAAAAGGCCCCAGACAGAACACAGGTGGAGGCTGACCTTGGCCTGCACCACCCAGGAAACTCCAGAGCCTGCCCCCGCAGTAGACAGTTACAGACCACATTGGAGCATCACTCAATCATCTCCACAAGCCATGGAGGGAGGTGGTTGCTGGCCAGGGATCAGAGTTAGTCCTAAAGCTATCTGTACTGGGTAAATCCCTCCCATCGACCCACTGACAGCAATCAAGACTCAGCTACAAGAGGAGGGAGTACTCAGGCCACATGGAAGGTGCACCTAGAGTACATGGCTTGGGACATAGGGGAAGCTGTGCCACTGGACCCTATATATAGGACACATATTACGTTAGGCCACACTACCAAGACACAGAGTCAAAGCAGCTCTACCTAATACATAGAAACACGGAGAGACTGCCAAAATGAGAAGACAGAGTAACATGGCTCAAATGGAAGAACAGAACAAAGCTCCATAAAAAGAACTAAACAAAATGGAGATAAGCAATCTATCAGATGCAGAGTTCAAAACACTGGTTATAAGGATACTCAAGGAACTCAGTGGATACTTCAATAGCATAAAAAAAAGGCCCGGGCAGAAATGAAGAATATACTAATTGAAATAAAGAACAGCCCTGGGTGGTGTGACTCAGTGGATTGAGTGCAGGCCTGCGAGCAAAGGGTCACAGTTCGATTCCCAGTCAGGACATATGCCTGGGTTGCAGGCCAGCTCCCCAGGTAGGGGTGCACAAGAGGCAACCACACATTGATGTTTCTCTCCCTGTCTTTCTCCTTCCCCTCTCTCTAAAAACCAATCAATAAAATCTTAAAAATAAAAAAAGGAAAGAAAGAAGGACAATTAGGGAATCAATGGTGGAGTGGATTAAGCCAAATCAAATCAATGATTTGGAACATAAGGAAGAAAAAGACATCCAATCAGTACAACAGGAAGAAAAAAGAATCCAAAAAATTGAGGATAATGTAAGGAGCCTTTAGGACAACTTAAAACATTCCAATACTCGCATCATAGGGGTGCCAGAAGGAGAAGAGAAAGAGCAAGAAACTGGAAATCTATTTGAAAAAACAATAAAAGAAAACTTTCCTAATTTGGTGAAAGAAATAAACATGCAAGTCCAAGAACCATAGAG